GGAAATCCAGTGGAGACCAGCGCTGGAGAAAAGTAGGTAGAGCCTACCTTCACTCAGAATGATCTGTCTGCTAGTAACGCCTTGATCCAGTGTGGGATTTCCCCTCGAGTTTCTGGAACAGCGGGATATGTGAGGCCCCATCGAATGCTTTGAGAGAAATCCATGTTGAGCTGAAGATGTCAAGTTTTTGGAACTAAGGTGGCCCAAGATATGTAGCGGACAAGGACCTAAGTATGCGTGTTCAATAAAATATACAATCAAAATATCAGATTAGAAACAACAAATAGCAATAAGAAATGGACAAGTGAATGGAACAGACTCACTAAAGTAAGGGTCCAATAATCCCACTACACGAAATGTTGTGCAGTAATCGTATTCGGCGGCGAAGAATATATTCAGAGTAAGAAGGATATTCTCCACTGATAGTTCGAGTGTTAGAAGTAAATTCCACGGTAGGAATTTATCACAGCTGAAAATTGTCACAAGGAGTTATTGTGACGTTCAACAGTTCGCACACAAATACAATAAACCAATCCCACGACTTCAGCAAACAGCAATCAGTTCAATCGGATGCAATTTCACTGACTCAGCAAAAAGCAGGGCGGTCGCGCCAAGAAATTGTGTATTTCACCATTTTCGATTTCTAATGTAACTATTGGTACAGTAAAACAAAATGTCATGATACGTGTACAGTGTTTACAAATTGCAATTCAAGTTTATATGAAGAGAGTAGAGAATGGGGAAAATGTAACATTGATTTGCAAAACACCACAGATAGCCCGCTTCAGAATGCGTTCGATCATCTTGCACGGCACGCTAGTCAGGCTTATAGGTCTGTAGCTGCAAGGCCACCAGTTTTGTAGATTGGTGTGACAATCTCTTCCTTCCAAGCAGACGGAGGGCGGCCTTCGTTAAGGGACTGAGAAACATCGAATATATATGATTTACCGGTATGGACGACGTTTCCTCAAGGATCACTGGGTGGACCTTGTCAGGCCCCAACGCATAGAATGGGTTGATCTGGTGCAACAGTTGACGAATGTCGTCCACCTTGAAGATTAAGTCGGTTAGGGAATGTTCATAGTTAGGTCTTGAGAAGAGTGGATGTGACGAGGATGACGGGGTTGAATATAGACCCGCATAATGTTCTCTGTAAACCTCAGATACCACTACCTTTGTTGGGTCACTCACGGATTCTCCGTTTCTGTCCCTCAAGGACAATGCGGATGGCATGTATCTGCAGAGACACTGTGTATCATTCTGTGGATTCATGGGTCCAGATAACGACACCTCACTGTAGAGGAGCTAGAAATCAGCCCTTGGCCATTTTCTCGTGTTCTTTCCCCTGCAGAGACGCCCGTGTTATTGTTGTCCCGAAAATCGACCTGGTGGGCCATTATTTTTTCATTTGTTCACCGGCGGGCTTTTAAATTTTCGTGAAGCAATGAGTCGTGCCCATCAGCCCGATCTAAAAAAGTGAGCGTTTTACTGTTATTTATATTATCTGACATTTTTAGGTATTTGGATAAGCGCCTCAAGCGTAAGTTAAATGTGTTCTGGTCAAAAATGTTGTGTTGCGTCATTCCATTTTGTTTCCTCCCGGTGTCAAAGAGGTTTCGCGAGTTGGGCTCCCTCATAAAATACCCCGAATCGTCCATGTGGACCTCTGGACATTCTACAGTATACCAAGCTGAACTAAAATGCCTTGCTATCCACTTGAATTGTTCTGAAGACCGCTCAGCCTCGCGAACATCGTGGGCATTTGTATTGGCGGTTCTAAATGCTGCTTTTCCCGTCTGGAGAATTGATCCCGACTTCAGCCAATCCATTGGAACCTACACAAAGGGGCATATCACTGTGTCTCAGAACACGTGCATCAGAACACAGTGCAGGTTTTGTTATTCTATGGCTCGGGAATCTGAAATATTTTCACGTCTTTAACCACCTGTCTCAGAATTATGGCTGAAATATCGCAACATGATCACAAGATGGGTTTTTGGTAAGGCAGAGGGTACCTCACTCAAACAGTGCATCCAGCACTCCGAACTGAGGTGGCCGGGTCGAGGGTTGCGCAGGCCTAGTTACCGCCTTAGTGTGTTACTGGTGTATTGCTGTTAATGGTAATGGTGTTCTTGTCGCCAGCCACATTAGTGTCTGTGCTTTTAGCCCTTTGTGCAGTAGAGTTGTCTGCACCAGAAGGAGCGGTAGTCTTGGTTTGTGGATGTCCACCGATGGCTGATAGCCATGTTGTCCAAATAGGTCCACCGTTGATTCGCATTTGGTGGCCTCTAGGTTACATACTGCTAGCATTCATGTTGAAAATTCGTGCTGGCCAAAAAACTAGCGCACAATTAGAGGAGTCGCTGTCCGTTGTCAATTTGGCGAGCATGCACTCCGAATAATTCCAAGAGCTGAAATACCGACCTGGGCATTCACGTCGCCCACAAGAATGACCCCTAGCAGCACACGCAGTCCAAAATAACCGAGTTTTCCGGTTATACGACGGTTATGTAACCGCCAAATAACCAGGACGGTTTGCGGTTAATAACCGCGGCGTGACCGCAACGTTGCGAACTACACGGGTAACCACACGGTTAAGCGTGCATATCGTCGTACCCGATGTAGAAAATGGGTCGTAGGAACGGAATCTGTACATCAAACTTCTGGCCACTAATGGAGATGGTTCAATAACCGCGTTGAAACGGTGACACTATATAGTGTCAGTGATTCTTGCTTAAAAAATGAACCAAAATGAATCACGATCAAAAGTATCCTCAGCACCAGTTCTGAACTGAAGCTAACACTACAAACAGGCACTGGTTTTTATGTCGAGTTGCATGGAGCTTGAGAGAATTGAATAACCGTACGGTGCAAAGACCATTGTTCCCCGAAATCCAAACTTGCAAAGCGCGTTCAGCCCTGGAATTGAGTGCACCTTCATACGTTTCATGAGTGTTCACTTCAGGGTCACCAGACACAGAATATAATGTGGAAGGGACGAGTTCCTTGACCCACAGCTGTCACCTTGTCGTGGTGTTCGGGCTTTTGTGTTGGAATTATCCTCCTAGCTATATGGACTGTAGCTCAGTTCTTAAAGGTCAAACCATGCCTGAATGGCCATGGGGGAGCAGCCCGACGGAGAACAGCAAGTCCCAGTACTGCGAGTAATCGTATTACGAGTCGCACTATGCTCCGAGATAGGAGTGTGAAGACATTAAGGCTTTTTCCCCAGGCGACCAGCATATCCATATCCAAGGGAGCAGCCTCCCCCCGAGGAGGGACAGGTTAGAAAATGTCGGTCCCAAAAACCGCACGCTCCGATTCCCCAACGGTTAACCGTGACCGCCGATGCATTATTCTATGCGGTCGAAATACCTTGAAACCAGAGGGTCCGTTGCTCCTTAAGAGGCACTTGCCGTGCGCAGCTGCACTAAAAGTGAGCCAGTAATGCCCCACTTCATGTACTTTCGGACCAGGCCACTCCCCTACAGTCAAGTGGGTCAGACTATTGAGTCAGAGGCTAGGAGTAGGGTCCCCGAATATAATCCTACATCCTCTCACTGTCTTGTCAGTCACTTTTGAGTCAAAGGCTCAAGGTGGGAAACCAGGAGGCATCATTTGCTCTTGCAGCTCGTCCCTCATCGGCCTCCCCCCTCATCCCCTCCCATCTCATCGTACAATGTAGTGGAATCAACCCATCTCCCAACCCCCTAGCCACTGTTCCATGTCTCAACCGTCGCTCAGAAGAATAAACAAAAATAATCACATACTAACCTCAAATGATCTGATCCAATTTGCAGCCTTTAATGTCCGTACGCTACGTCAAATTGAGCAACAGGCATCCCTTGCTTACTTTCCATCGATGTGTTATGTCTCCGAAACACGCATAAAAGACTCCACTTTAATCGTGCTCCTCAAGCCGCTTAGGACTAGCCTAGATGTTCCACATTTCACTCTTCGGGCATTCGGTGATCCTGGCGCAATGGCTCGCGGCATCTGCGGCGTGGGTGTTGCCCCGAGGCTGAAAGCGCCTTACTGCACTGGTTCCCAGTGAACAGTCGCCTTTGCGCTGTGCGGTTGTCTGGCTCAATTAAGGTTAACGCAGGTCGATGCGGTAAACGGTTTTTGTTTGTCCTACCAGCATACGCCTCAACAGACTGCAGTTCTGATACTGAGAAGGACGAGCTATTTCAAGATCTATCAGAACTGCTTCGGTCAGCAAGAAGGACATATATAAAATAGGTATAGTAACCCTTCAAAAAATTTCGAAAGACTAATCTATAAACAAAAATGACTGTTGCAACCCGAACAGCACAAGGCTTGCCTCAGACCTCCCTACATGTGGGTGACTTGTAACCGCTGGCCACGGAAGCGTTATTACACTCTAAATTTTCGGAAATCGGCACCATGTTAAGCGCTCGCATTTGTCGCGATTTGGTCACCCGGAACTCCCTTGGTTACGGTTACGTGAACTTCGATGAACCAAAAGATACCGAGCGCGCTCTTGTAAGTCAACTATGAGTCGTTCATGAGACGCCCTATCCGCATTATGTGATCTCAACGCGACCCTCCCCTTCGAAAGTCCGGGAAGGGTAACATCTTCATAAAGAACTTGAATAAGACCATTTATCAGGAGCACCTTTACGATACTTTCAGTTCTATCGAGAAAATACTCTCGTGCATGGGCGAACACGGAAATTCGAAGGGATATGGGTTTGTACATTTGGAGGAAGAAGAGTGTGCTGAAAGTGCCATTGAGAAAATTAACGGCATGATGATCAATGATCGAGTTGTGTACATCGGCAAATTCATATCCAGTTCAGACCGTAAATCGGTCTCAGGGAACTTCGATTCAACGTCTACGTGAAGAACTTCCCACTGGGTACTACTGATGAGAAGTTGCGCGATATGTGAATTCGGGGAGATTAAGAGTTGATGCGTCGAGAAGAACCCCGAAGGAAAGGCTAAAAGCTTTGGTTTTGTTTCTTCCCATGACCCAGATCATGCTGAACAGACCGTCAGGGTTATGCATGGCAAAGAAATAAATGGCCGAGCCTTATATGCCAGCCGCGCCCAACGCAAAGAAGAACGTCAGGAGGGACTCAAACAACGCCTCGAAAAACAGCGGGCTGAGCGTCTCGAAGTACGTTCCTGGGGTCACCCTGTATGTAAAGAATCTTGACGATAACATCGATGATGAAAGACTAAAGGTAGCGTTTTCGCACTACGGCCCGACCACTAGTGCAAAGGTGATGACTGATGCAAACGGGCGTTTTAAAGGTTTTGGTTTTGTTTGCTCCACGCAGCCGGAACAGGCAGCTCGGACTGTCATTGAAATGAACGCCACTTTGGCGGGCTTCAAACCTTAGTATGTTGCTTTAGCTCAACGCAAGGAAGACACGCGCGAAATTGATAGCCGAGCATCAACGCCTGGCTCAATACAGAAGTCCTGTTACACAGATGTTGCCTGCCGCCGCTGTACACGCGGCTGCTCCGAATCACTTCCCACCTACCGTGTTCCCGCAAGCACAGCGTTATTACCATCCTACGGGTGCTGTCATAAGCTCACAACCACGATGAAATAGGGCAGCTGCTATGTCGGGTGGAATGCCGGCTCAACTTGGCGGGATTGTCTCTGCGCGTCCGCCGATGCCCACTCAATGTATTGGTGCACCAAACCCTGCAGCGGGTGTCGCAGCGAACCAAATGGCTACAATGGCTCATCTACGGTCTCCGGCTAGTGTGGGTCGTCCGATCATGCCTAATGCTGCAATGTCAGCTATGCCAGCTGACCCGCATGTGCCTGGTTCGGTTATGATGAACCATGCTGCTGAGCAGAGGCAGTCTGCCGGTCGACCCAGAGTTCCGATGCAGCAGGTCATGACTGGTCCTGCAGGTGGCATGCCACGACCATCTATGGCTTCAGTGGTGGCTGGTGGCCCTTATGTCCGGCCGATTGCTCCTCAGGTTCCACGAAATGTTATGCATCCCTCAATGGGTGCGATGCTGGGTGCTCCTGGTAACGTTCGCTTCAACCAAACTTCGAGAAACGTTTCTACACAACCCACGGACTTCTAACACAAACGCACACATCGAGTTACCTGGAGGCCACCTACCACAAGATAGTTCTGGACTCGACTGGACCATATGACTATCGGTTGCCGATGGAGAGTCTCGGTTAAGAATTGTCGTTCCTTCTGGGGTACACAACTTGACTCTGATCACGCCATCGTGCGGGCCCATGTAGCACTTAGCTTTCCGCCAGCATTACGCGTGCCGAAAGAGCAGCTCCGTTCACCAAATTCGGCAAGTTTCAGTAGCCGAAGAGTATCGAGCTGATCTGGTTGGAAAGCTACTGAAAACGCACAGTCATGTGGAAAACGAAGATTGCTTGGATGATGAATGGAAGCAAATTAAAGAAGCAGTTTTGTCAGCTTTCAGAACTCTTTGTCCAGCACGTCTGCCTCGACTCAGTGAACACTGGAGATCAGCAAATCTTATTGTTGCCAGAAAGGCCATACCAGCAACTAGCGACTGTGGTGGCGCACGCAGATCCCTCAAATATCAGATTATCAGAACGACAGATCTCTGGTGGTTTTCGAAGTCCCGGGAGATGGAGAAGGTTTTCGCTGCATGCAACAACCGCGCGCTGTTTTAACTGACTCGATCAACGAGTCAAAAGGAAGCAAATGTCAGTGAGACAATATGCGAAAAAGAGTGAAGAGCAATTCAGTCCCTCAATCGCCGTCTTGAGAGGTGGGCTTAGCACTTCCAAGGACAGTCCACCTGGTTTCATATATATATATATATATATA